AGAGACTAAAAAATTGCCAACCTTTAGGAAGTTAGTTTAAAAACTCTTTCTTTTTGGAAATTTACTCCATTAACAAGTCGTTTGTGGTTCCTACGTTAGATAATGATATGAAATAGATCTCTCCTTACATATATGAACAAAAGAAGGAGACTCAAATCACAAAAGCTAACCATACCAAATACAAATCAATTGTCTAATCCAGTCGAGAGTGCCACTCAATGTCCACAATCTCCAAAAGACTAATCATATAACCATCTAACAATCACCATAACAAAAAGAAATTGCCATCAAATCATCACTTTCCAGCTAACAATAATTTTATTTCAGCGAGTAGATGGAGGATAAAGGAGGTTAATTACATATTGTCGTTTCATTTCTGCAGGAAGATTGTAGAACACATGAAGCTTGGAAATCTGCTCCGAAAGTATGTCGGCTGCATTCATTACATCTCCACTCGGTAAAGCAAGTTTCATTAACTCAGCAACAACTTGATCTCTTCTATCAGAGACCAATTGCTCACGTTTATCCTCATTTGACATGGCTGCTGCCATAGTTGTGAAATTAGCTTGAATTCCCTCCACGAAATCTCCAAATTTGCTGGTGAGAAGTTGCAATGATGCATCAAGATCACCCCTTGTTGTTGATGCAGATTTCATTTTTTTTGACACATTTGCAATGGGAGGGGATTGTTTCTTTTGTTTCTTGGAATTTCTTGTGCTTGTTGAGCTTGGTTGAGTTGATTGCTCCATGGAATTTACTTCATCTTCTTCTACCTTATCATTATCCGAGTTTGACATAGCATCAAGCCCTTCATCTCCTTCCTCCAAATTTTGGACATCTTCCATATCTTGGACAGCTTGTGCAAAATCTTCAGCAACATTTCCAGTGGCTCTGTCTCTTCCATATACAATTTCAAGATCTCCTAAATATGGAAATTTGACATCCCAAAGGCCCTTCGCATCCTTATGAGTCTAGAGATAGAATAGAAAGATAAATGATAATCTTAATAAAAGGTTGAAAAAGAACATATCAGAATGTAAAAAGTAATCAATTTCTTACCTTGCACCAATCATCATACCACTGTTTTTCACAAGAAATCTTTTTCTCAGCATCATTCCAACTACAACCACTTTCTTTGCACATTTCAACAATTGCATGGAACCTATTTTTCAGCCACTTAACTTTTGATTCAATATGTGGGCTGACTTGTTTGGTAAAAGTAGGTTGCTTACGCAAGATAATTTTAAGCAATTCGCTCATATAATTATTTTTAAATCCTCCATCTGATTTCCACATTGGATCACAAGCCAACTCTTGCAATGATTCTATGAGCACTTTTACCTCTTCACCAGTCCAAAAACATTTATTTTTCCCTCTTTCACGTACAATTTCATCATTCTCCATCCTATCATTTAGAAGTCAACCCATATATATCAATTAATTTTGATACACAATAGCATATAACTGAAATTTATAATATAACAAAACACATAAAAGAACATACAATTAAAAGTCAATCCAAATTTAAAAGAACATACATCAAGTGTCAATCTAATTCACAAATCCACTACAAGAGTACATCAAATGTCAATCCAAATTTAATGAGTCTAAGAGCTAAACATCCATTCATAGCTAAATACTAAGTCCAGCCCTCCAATTGTCAAACATTTCATGTGCTAAATTATTTCTAAAATTTGCCCATTGATCACTTGCCCACAAATTGTTCTACTTTTCTTGTGGTGAGCCAAAACATATACAAACATGGCAACAATTTCTTCTATTGACATGTTTCTTGTAGCTTTCAAACCTCCAGTGTCTCTAATCATTTCACATAATATCCCAAATGTTCGTCTATCCATACGAAGTTCGCTAATACAATAAGCATCACTCTCCCTAGTCAAATTGAATAAGTGTTGCATGCGCTCAGTGACTTTTTCTTCTTTTGGTTTTATTTGGCGTCTTCTACTTTTGAGATGAATGAATATTAACTGGTACCACATCATAAACAGTGCAATAACAACCATTATCATTCCTGATAAAATCTGGTTTTGCCCTCGATATTTTTTGCGTCTTCTGTTTTCAATAGGCAAACGTGGCATCTTTGTCTACATAACAATATGACAACCAAACGTAAGTATTCACCAAACTAGATTACGGCATCAAAATCTTCAAATGCATTAAACATCAATTGATCTTATTAAAAGGGCTTAGACATGCATCATACATCCGTAAACACAATGATGTATAGATATAAATAAGTATAAACAAACGGAATTGATGGTTGAAACTTGAAATCCTAATGTACGAATAACTATGAAACTGAAAGCTATTCAAGCAGACAATTTTACAAACAGGTACAGGGCATGTAGAAACCCACCCAAACTATACCAGTATTCACGGATCAAATAACCAAAAGATCAAGAATTGATTGACCTCCATTGAATGCGTAATCCAAGAAAACACATTAAAAACATAAAAATGACAAATCTAGTGACATTAACATTTATCTCACCAAAAAAAAGAACAAAATAATGTATTTGTTGAAGTAAGTGAATTAAAATACATGTATTACAACAAAATACATGGATTAAAAACATGTATTATTCTCACCAATAATAGTGTATTTGTTGCGGAAATAATTTCTTATTGGATTTTGTAACAAAAGAATATGAATTCATGGAAGGAAGACTTTTTTGCAAAACTGACAGATTGTGTAGCGTGAGTGGAATAAAAGTGAGAAGGTGATGGATCCAGAGCATAGCATTTTGGTCCAGTTAGTGTTATTGTATCAGATTTCCTTCTTTTCTTCTTTATTTTCAGCTACCCAGTGAGTAGCCTGAAAAAATAGAGAAGAAGAAAGAGAAAATCTTGCATACGAAAAGAAAATTGCAGAGGCAAGGGAGTTTGTAATCCACTGACCTGGGATCAAGGAATTCACCCTAGTAGAAGACTCTTCAACTCTAGAATTCGTTGTCCAAGGAGAGTCGAAAGCCACTGATCTTTATGGTTGTCCAACCGGTGAAGTAGAAGAGGTAGAAAATCTGATGAAGAAGAAGAACAGAAGGTGCGGCGTGTAATGAAGAAAAAAAGAGGGTAGGTTCGTCATAAATATTTTTGCTCGGGAATGAGTTGAAGGTTTTGTCCAAAACCTCCCAATTTACTCAGGAATGGTGAAAGTCCGATTTTTTAGAAATGATTCCAGAAATTGCATTCCAATAGACTTAACCCAAGCAACAAATAAGGGATTCATTCCATTATTTGATTCCCAAACCTTTTAACCAAGCAGCCCCTAAAGAGACTTTGAACGTCCGCTTGCCCTCCATTGATCCGTTTTTGCAAATGAATGAGGCTAGATAGCGGAACTGGAACAGATCTTAAGGGGAAAAAAAACCTCATGAAGGAGAAATAGCAAAAGTGAGACAGAACATTTGTTTATGGTCTTTTTGAATAGTGAGATAGTAGTTGATCAAAATCTCCAATTAGTATTTTTTTTTTTTTTTTTAAGCATATAAGTAGGAGAGTTTGAATAGTGAGCATAGTATTATTCTATTCTAGATTGTTTGGATTATTTGGAAAGTATTTGAATTTGTAATTCATCAATTATTTGAATACATGTAAATATTAAAATATTTATTTTGATGAATTATAAATCCAAATAATTCTCAATTAATCCAAACAACTTAGAAAGATATCAAAAGATTGAAAACCTATTGTCAAATCCCTCATTCCAAATGAAGGCGAATCCTAATTCTTCATCATCAATTTTTTAGTCAAACATTTAATTGCTCTTAAACTCTTTTTTTTTTTAAAAAAAAAAGGAAAAGAATGCTAAGCCCTTTGTTTCGATTGTGAATTTTCATTAAAAAAAAAACTCTCGATACATTTTTTAATTATCCACTTATCTCACATGCATCGTATTGCTACATTACTCTAAAAACATACAATGCAAACAAACTGTTTTGTGATGTTCTCAATGTACCAAAGAGAAGAAAACAATCATATTAACCCACTTTTTTCTTTCCCTTTCTCTCTATTTTTTTGTTGTCCATAAGTTTTGGGCTTACGTTAACGCATTCTTGATCATTCATTCTTGTTGATTGACAGCATATGAGCATCATGGGAGTAGCATATATAGATTGTATACAGGGTCATATTAATGCACGTCGGTTGTTACTTATACGGCTCTTGGCATGCAATCATTGAAGTTGATTGAGGATTCTGAGTTCATTTGATCCCGACATCGTTGCGAGTGAGTATTCTAAACACATGGGTCAGTTGACGACAGCCTAAATTGCCCGTCCCTCTCACTTCTCAACCGTATTTCATTATACTACGAACTACCAAGAGTGAGCTATGCCTATGCGTACTCCACTTATCTTTTGCATTGATGGATTGGGGCATAACCAATTTAGTTGCAGCTGCAAAGTGGACTAAATTTGTGTTTGAGCAGCTACCCCCACGGCTGGTAAAGATATCGATTGTGTTTGAGCAGCTTTGGCTTGGAACGTATAAGACATAACGGCTGCTTTGATTGCTGCTGCTGTCACCTTCCAAATTATATTTATATCCAGGAAGGTAATATATATATATATATATATATATATACACCAGAAAAGGAACAAGACACAACATCCCCTGAATTTATGCATGAGAATTACCAACTAAAGAGGAGGTTGGCGGAATATTGCAGGCTGAAGAATTTACAGTAGCTAGTATATATGTGAAATGCATCTTGTCGAATTTAACGAAAGAAGCAATGACGAGTAATATTTACTAGCAACTAGAAAAGCTACGTAGTAGCAAATAGCAACTTGTTTGCTTCAGCACCTTATCTTTATACAAGTCCTGGTATTTTAGGCTGGACCGTGCCCTTTGTTTAGTCGGCCCCAGTTTTACTCGTTCACATGCCATTAGAAGAGACCGGCCATTTATTGGGGTTTCAACAAACTAATCTGATTTGGTTTGCAAAGGCAAAACCAGTGTATAAAACCATCCCTAGCTAGCTACTTTCTTCTCATCTTTCCATCAACTTGTTAAAGAGTCTTTGAGGCTCCAAAGATTTGAGAGAGAGTTTTGGTTTTGAAGAATCCCCAGGCCCGCATTCTAGTATTATATACAAATTATATATTTTGCAGAAATGCGCAGCCAAGTTTCTGCTAATATTGTTGCTAGCTCTGCGGCCATTGTTGTAGCAGTGGTCTTGTTACTACCTCAGGCTGAGGCTGCTCGTGCTTTCTTTGTGTTTGGTGATTCACTGGTGGACAATGGTAACAACAACTATTTACTCACCACGGCGCGGGCGGATTCTCCACCCTATGGCATTGACTACCCAACTCATCGCCCCACTGGCCGATTTTCCAATGGCTACAACATCCCTGATCTTATTAGTAAGTTCGTTATATATACCATGCAATCAATATTCCCTCATTTTATTTTCATTTTCCGTGACTGTTCGTTTGCTGGACCCGATGATATTTTGCATCAATTCATGAACATAGGCCAAGCGCTTGGGGCTGAGTCAACCTTGCCGTACTTAAGTCCTGAGCTCAACGGAGAGAAGCTGTTAGTAGGTGCAAATTTCGCTTCTGCTGGAATCGGAATCCTTAACGATACAGGGATTCAATTTGTAAGTTCTGATCTTCGATCATGCACTGCCATTTTCCTGAGCTGTTGATCAGCTGTAAAAATGGGGGAAAGGAAAAAAAAAAAAAAAAACCAACCAACTTCAACTGTACTAGTATACGATATCCTTTGTTTTGCTCCCCACTTTCCCAGGTAGCTTTGGTTGTGTACTTTTCACCTTTGGGATATCTGAGTTGGTTGGATTTTTAATGCAATTACGTACCAGTACCACTGAAGTCATAATCCTTCTTGCTTTACGTGTCCAGTTAGTAGCGTATACACACAGCCCCATATTTATTTGCTCTCGTGAAAGACACAACAACTGGATCCGGGGCTGTTCTTCCACAGCCATATGTAATTTTTGGGGTTTAATTGGTTTTTGTGGATTTGGGCATTAGGCAAACATAATAAGAATTGCCCAACAATTGGAGCTGTTCGCTCGGTACCAGCAGCGACTTGGTGCACTAATTGGGGCGGACCAGGCAGAGCAGCGGGTGAACCAAGCGCTGGTTCTCATCACACTTGGTGGGAATGACTACGTTAATAACTATTTTCTGACGCCATTGTCTGCCAGAAGACTTCAATACAACATCCAAGATTATTCCGTTTTCCTCATCTCCGAATACCGCAAAATTCTACTGGTAATTTATCCTTTTTTTTTTTCCTGGCGCTGTCTGCATTCTTCCACCGCCAGAAGGAACTTAGCAAAACTAATCAGACAACACAGATTTTTAGCCAAGGCTTGTTTTCAATAATCGGACATGACAAAATGGTAAATGGATAATGCATCGCGCGCTGACTTCTGGTGCATTTGGTATTACGTGTCAACCTGTGTAACTCATAACAGTATATAATTCTAGTTAATATTTGGTCATCATCAAATTAATTACTTGGCTTGTTCATTGCTCCCTCGAAAAAAAAATAATAATTTGTGCAGAGACTGTACGAATTAGGAGCAAGAAGGGTGCTGGTGACAGGAACTGGGCCCATAGGTTGCGTTCCAGGGGAACTGGCTACAAGGAGTAGAAATGGGGAATGTGCAGAGGAGCCTCAACAAGCAGCTGCCACCTTCAACCCGCTCCTCATTCAAATGATTCAAGGTCTCAACCAAGATCTGGGATCAAACGTGTTTGTCGCCGTCAATGCAATGCAAATGCAGAATGACTTCATCACCAATCCCCGGGCTTTTGGTTTGTTCTAAACTAGCACTAATATGATAAACCAATTCTTTGCATGCCTCCTGCCTCTTGCAAGAAGCCTTGAATGAAGTCAGGGCAGCGATCAAAAGGGTCTTTACAATATATATATAATTTTCTAATACTGCATGCTGACAATAACATTTTCTGGTTGGAAAACTGTAACAGGTTTTGTCACGTCTAAGGTAGCATGTTGTGGACAAGGAGCATTCAATGGAGTTGGACTCTGCACTGCCGCATCAAATCTATGCCCGGACAGAAATGTGTATGCGTTTTGGGATCCTTTTCACCCATCGGAGCGGGCAAATAAGATTATTGTCCAAACCATCCTCACCGGATCCGACAAATACATGACTCCCATGAACCTCAGCACTATCATGGCCCTGGATTCAAAGATTTAGTGATTCTACAATCTTTGATCGAGTCGCGTGTTGTACTAGTCCCAGATGTACTAATTACTTCTACTACTTTCTTTTTTTTTTTTTTTAAGTGCTCGTCTGCTGCTTGCTTTTGCGTTACCATAATTTATTGCATTTCCTTTCTCATTCTATGATTGCATCACAAAGATTTGAACCGCTTCATTCTACATCAAGTTTCAATGCCGCAAATCCCTTCCTGTTTTTTTGGTCTTTAATACTTGACCATCCCGACGGCCAAGCCCCACGACTTGGCAATAAAAATTTTCCAGGTAGAAAAAAGAAAGGTTGATCCTTAATTTTGCTAGAGAATAAAACTAATCCGTCATGTCTCTTTGAGGGTCAATCCATGTCCACAACACGCTGGATGGTTCTCACATCATTGAATCAAAAAGACCAGTCCATAATAAGAGGCCCAAGTAGAACGTCGGAGGCCCAATGTGTTGACGCTTCTCTGGTCCATGTGGCAGTGGGGCAATGGGTAGTAGGACTTGAGAAAGGGCTTCTGCCTCGTGAATCCCAGAAAACATCATTAAGTAGTAGTAATTAACAACCTGTGATGCTCCAGTTTAACCTTTCATTTGCTCACCGACTTAATTGCCAACCTGTAAAGCTCAATCACTTCTTGGTTTATTATTATTATTATTTTGGTCCCCTCTGGGACCCAACTGGATCAGCTGAAGCTAAAGCTGATTACTTTATTATTTTGTAGTGATTCTAAGGATTCGTCCAACTGGGGTTTGGTGGCGTGGCTTCGTCGCCAACTGGGATTAGTCTTCTTCTTCTTAATGGGTTTTTATCAAACGTCAATCATAATAACTATAATGTAATCATACCTCGTTACGTCTTCAGAAACTCAAGGCACCGGTGGAAATGGAACTTTGATTTAACAAACAAAATATGATGGCGCTCAGCAGAAAGACAGGAGAACAACTGATAATTTTGATTCCTAATTAGGTAGAACTTGTTGTCGTGGAAAAACGTTGCGTCCATCATTTTGGTCTGGTGAGCCCAACCGAAACGGTACATGATTCCATAATCTGAAGACAAGGAGCTTACGAGTGAAATGAATCAACTTAGCTCAAACAAACATGATATGCAATAATAATAAGGTTTATAATCCGAAGTCCTGACTCATAATCTAAATTCTTAAACAACATTGAAATAAACATTTATTCAAAATCTAATTGTCAAGCTAAATTTCTATGTGTCAACTTCCATCAAAATTTGACTTCCAGGTATAGTTATATTTAAATGAGCTAATTAGTATCTAGTAATAGGATTAAGATTTACTCTTATATTTAGTAATATATATAACTAATATACATACGTACACGGACGCACATATATAACATTATATTATAAAAATTTCGGTAATTCGTCCGATGATAATCAGTAATTCAGTTATATACTTTTAATATCCATTGCCAAATTATTTCACAGAATATCATATTTTGATTTTTTTTTCGAATTCCATTGCAGTGAAATTTGAAATCCGATCTAAATTAGATCGATTGATTTTGCAGTTTTTTTTTATTTATAAATACCTCTATTTAGATGCGTCTTTTGATTGTGACAAGCAATGTTTTGATAGGCAATTATTTGAGATAATTTTTTTTAAAAATACTGTAACATTTTTTTTGAATATAATATATATAAAATAAAATATATATATATATATATATGTTTATGATACGAGCAAGTAAATTAATAAGGCCATGTATAACTCATTAGGACTTGGAATTGGTTATCAGCTCTAATGAGGTGCTATAAAACAGAGAAAAAGCGGTATGTCTTCATTTTGAAAATGTATTAGTATGAATCCTCTCACTTAGGGTTCGTTTGATAAAATTGAAATTTGAAAACTGAAATATGAATCTATTAAATTATTGAATTGTTAAATATTAAATTTAATATATTTGAATTATATATTACCTTCACTCACGAGTGAAATGAAATCTTTGTAAACATAACATCCAATAACAAATGAATAAATGAAATCCGACAAGCATGCAACTTTTGCTCCAAAACATTCGCTTCAGGAAACCAGAGAAATGAAAGCAAACAAATACGGCTCCCACGAGGAATTTTTTGTTTCTTGTGAAACAAAAACAAATTTACGTAGTCGTTTCTGAACTGCAGAAGGCCTCAAACAGAACCCCATCGACATAACCCACATGTTACTCTAACAAATTCCGCTTTGAGATAGCGTACCAGTAAAATAGAACTGCTACTGTCACTGAACTTCCTAAAAAACGTTAGGTGTTTTCCTGAGTTATCCCCCCAGGGTCCGTGGTTAGAGAGTAAAAGATTTTCCCAACTGCTCCAACAACATTGACAGATCAGCCTCCCACTCTAATCCTGCATCCGCTCCTCCGTCAATCTAGCACATCCCTTTCCTCACCCAAATTCTTACACACACAGCACATACTGCTGCTCTCTCTCTCACACACACACGCACTCACTCACTCACTCACACTGTCTTCTTCACTTTCCTTCTCCATTGTATCACTGCTCCGCCGAGTTCCCTCTTTCCCCATAGTCCCCATTCCCACTCAGATCTGATATTCGTCGCACCAGATCGGAGCCCTAACTTATAACTCCTAGTTTAATTCCAAAAAGATGGAGGAGGCATTGGAATTGGCGCGTGCCAAGGACACCAAGGAGAGAATGGCGGCTGTGGAGAGGCTTCACCAACTTTTAGAAGCTTCCAGGAAGAGCTTATCCTCCTCGGAAGTTACGTCGCTTGTTGATACCTGCTTAGATCTCTTGAAAGATAATAATTTTAGGGTTTCGCAGGGCGCTCTTCAAGCCCTCGCCTCTGCGGCGGTACTTTCCGGTGAGCATTTGAAGCTTCATTTCAATGCCTTAGTTCCTGCCGCTGTTGAGAGACTCGGAGATGCGAAACAGCCGGTTAGGGACGCCGCTCGCCGGCTTTTACTTACTCTAATGGAGGTATTGGTGTTTAAATTCATTTACTATTTTATCAATTCAATGAGTTTTCGTGCAATTTGCTTGGCGTTGAATTCAGCATTGGATGCTGGTGAATTTGCGGGTATTTGCTTTGCTGGATTAGCTTAGTTGGAATTGGTGGTTGGCTGATGTATCTGAATATATTGAATAATTTAATTAAAAAGTTGAGTAAATTGACAATGCGGATAGCTCTATTCTTAAATCTTGTCTAACTAAGTTGATGATGCGTGTTGTGGAAAGAGAACCTTTTTTTTTTCCTTTGGTTGTTTTCTTTTGCTCCGGAAGGCGGGGAGCTGTTGGTAATCCTGGTATTTTTGATCTGGTTCTGATGGCGAAATCTACTTCAACCTCACCGAATTAGTTTATGGTGTTTTAGAATGGGTACTGGATTAGGTACTAGGAATTGGAAATAGAGTAACTTGTGTTCTCTATATTGGGTTTATTTGAACCAAAATGTGAACTAGTGTTTTTCTTAATAACTGTTGAATTTACTATAGTTTTTGTGAATTAAACTAATGTTTTATTTAATTAGCATTTTAGTTGAATTTGTTTGCTATGGAATCTTTATGACCATAAAAGATTTGGATACTGATATTTAAAAGTACATTTATAATGGCTTCAGTTAGAATATACATGTTGCTACTTTTAAATTTTCGGGAGAACTTTACAGGACTGAAGGATGCTTGTCGACTTCCCTATTGTCTTTGCTTCATTAACTGAGGAAATGACAGTTTTGATGTGCATTAATATGAAAAGATCGAATGTTAGGATGAATGGTGAGGCTATGGACTGCTGGAGATTCCTGTAAAATATGACTTAGACTGCAATACTGTCTATCATCAGATGCTGTTGCTATATCAAGTGTTTATTGTTGTGTTTACTTAGATAATAGTCCCTTTTGGTTTACAGTTCTTTGAACCATTCTTCAGATGCTGGAGATTCCTGTTATGATTTAAATTCTTTTGAAGAATAATTGCTATCCTGTAATAGGTTTCTTCACCAACAATTATTGTTGAAAGAGCGGGGTCTTATGCTTGGACACATAAGAGCTGGAGAGTACGAGAAGAATTTGCACGTACAGTCACCTCAGCAATTGGTCTTTTCGCATCCACTGAGCTTCCGCTTCAACGTGCTATTCTTCCTCCTGTATGGAATTATTATTCTTGATAACCTTTACTACAACGTGTTATTTGGTTGTATATTTTAGAACTAATATATGCGGTGAAGTTTTTCAAGTACAGAAAATTAAAATAAAGTTTCTGCTATGTTTGTTCAGATTTTGTACATGCTGAATGACCCAAATCCTGCTGTGCGTGAAGCGGCTATATCATGTATTGAGGTAGCTGAATTGCATGTTTAAAATCTTTTTTAACATCTTGGAGTGATTTTAAACCCCCCATTATTTGAGCTTGCTGAGGTAGTACTCCTGTCTCTTGTGCTGGAAGAAGGCACCATTTGCTCATGTCTTAACAAGCAATAGACTGATCATGATGCATTAATTTCACTTCATTTCCTTCTTCAGGAGATGTATAATCAGATTGGTCCTCAATTTCGTGATGAGCTTCAGCGTCAAAATCTTCCTGCAACAATGGTATTATGTAGCTCGATCTGTATCTTGTTAGTATTTCAAATAGGAGCTTTAGTGGTTTGTCATCAGTTTTTGCCTTGTGGGTTTGGATTTTCTATTATGACATGGAAGGACTTAAATACGTTGTCCTTGTTTTTGTTTTCTAAGTGACTCTTCTTTAATTACAACTGACTGTAGGTAAAAGATATCAATGCCAGATTAGAGAGAATTGAGCCAAAAGTAAGGTCAGCTGATGGACTTGTGAGTAATTATGCTGCTAGCGAGATCAAGTCTGCCAACCTTAGTACTAAAAAGAGCAGTCCTAAGGCCAAGAGTTCTACACGTGAGGTATCTCTCTTTGGAGGTTAGTGCATAATGATGTTAATGAAAGGCTTACTTTTATTGGATGACATATATTGAGTTGCGTGGTGTCAAATTGTTTCATTTTTATTGTTCGCCTTATTCCTTGTAGAATGTCATATTATCTGTTTCTTTGCCCTTTGCTTATGCAGGTGATGGTGATGTCACAGAAAAACCTGTAGAGCCCATCAAAGTTTACTCAGAGAAGGAGTTGGTTCGGGAATTTGAGAAG